CCCCCCCCCCCCCCCTCCCCCCTCCCCCAACCCCTTTCATAAACGACGGTCGGGGGTCGGGCGTTCTGGGAACGCCGGACTGCCCTTCTGGAGATGTCAGGGGTCGGGCGTTCTGGGACCGCAGGACCCCTTTTCAGAAACGAGGGTCGGGGGGGTCGGGCGTCTAGGGAACGCCGGACCCCTTTTCAGAAACGAGGGTCGGGGGTCGGGCGTTCTGGGAACGCCGGACCCCCTTTCATGAACGAGGGTGGGGAGACGAGGGTTTGGGGATCGGGCATTCTGGGAACGTCGGACCCCCTCGGTGCGCGGAGGGCGGGAGGTCGGGTGTTTCCAGAACGCCCGACCCCCGCGGCTACGGAGGTGGGGGTCTGCCGTTTGGAGAAGTTTGGATCCGCGTTCCTTGACGACGCGAGGGGGGGTCGTCGACTCCACACACGAAATGCTTCTGTCTGTTCCTCATTTTTTCTTTGCTTGTGCGTTTCCTTTGTTTGTGCCCTCTAGGTCAACCTGTTGCTTCGACCTCTCGGGCGTACGGCATGTCGAAGATCTACAACAACAATTCATGGGCTCTGGACTGGGTTGGTGGTCTGCATAAGCCTGGGTGTGGGGCCGTCGTCTTCTTGAGCGACGACAATGGTGCGACGTGGTAGTGCTGTGGGGGTGTCGAAAAATCTGAGAGCGCCAGGAATACCTACGACGGAAGGTCGTTCAGGACCTTCTTCCTTACGTCTGTTTTCGACAAGGATGGGACAAATTGGGTAAAGGAAGACAAGAAGGTCGGCCTTCACTTGCGGCTCTTTCAAGGCTACGGCGTCAAGGCTTTCTCCATGAAAGCGTTTGACGTGCGCGGGGACGACACCGAGCTTCGCATGCTCACTGCAGAACAATTCCTCAGCAGAACGAACGGCGACCGCGTCACTGGCTGCCTTCCTGTCGTCGAAAGTTCCTTGGAGCTCACCAAACCCTTGGTGAAATTCAGCAGCCCGGCGGACCAACTTACAGGTGTCGTTAAGGAGTACAGGGAAGCCTTCTCGAGGCTGCCTCTGGACCAGCAAGCCGACTGCGCTTTCGTGCCCTTAGTCACGAGCTCGAGGAGATCGCAACAGACGTCATCAGCACCAGTTGGGAAGAGGAAACATTTGGCTGCTTGTCCAGCTCCGCCTTTGCCAGCCGCGTCGCCCACGCCCTTGCCCGCGGTGAGAGGAGGTCACGATCTCGCTCAATGTTCCAGCGAGGCTACGGAGTGCAATGACAGACTTCTGTGCGGACGCAATGCTGCGCGTGACAATGTCCACGAAGGTGCGACTAGCCTCAGTGAGCGAAACGAGGAGAACGAAGATGGGGGAAGTTGCGGTCCACGTGAGGACGGCGGTGATGACGAGTACATGGACGTTGGGGATGAGAACATGCAGGACCAGAACATGCTTGGTGATGATGACGTCGGTGTCACGTCGGAGCATGGCCCTGGCGACATCCCCGCCGGTTCTGTGGGAGCCGCTGTTGGTCGGCCCTTGTCGTCCCCTGCGATATGGCATTCGCAAGGCGGGAGTCAAGGTGGGCATGACTCGCAGGAACACGGAGGATCAAAGTCGAGGAAAAGGACAAGAGAAACTTTTCCCTCTGCTTCCGCTCACAAGAGACAAGCAAGGACTGATGCTGTTAATGAGGCTCGTGGAGCTCTGACAGCATCCTAGGAGTCGAGACCTCCTCGGAAGAGCAGCCAAGGGGGAAGATCTGGCGGTCGTGGCGGCGGCCGTGGTGGCGCAAGAAAAGGTAAGCAGATAGTGAGGGCAGAAGAACTGCGGGACTCGGGGGATGAGGGCGAGGAAGTGGGCCCTTGCATGCCCGACGATGGTGATAAACCGCTTCAGCACGCTGCGCCCATCGACACGACACGTTGTTTCTTCCTCGAGTACGACGAGCAGGGTTTTGCTAAGCAAAAAGTCCTTCCTGTTCTTGTGGACGTCATGAAAATCAAATGCATTCCCCGCGGGAATATTCTTTTTAACCACCGCTCTTTATTTGCGAACATTGTGCGAGGCATCGAGAATGCCATCGAGAGTTCCATCACCACGGAACTGGGGGCGTGGGATAGGCCTGAGCTCGTGCTTGCGCCGGTTGACCGCGACGAAATCGTCGGCGGGCAGGGAAGGCGGATAACACCAACCGAATTCTTCGAAAGAGACTCCTCGGAGTTCGATTGGTACGCTGTCTGTGGTCAGCATACGGTCGAGGCCATGAAGACATTGGTAAAAAAGGGCTCTCCGGCAGTCGACGTCTATGGCCTTCGCGCGTACTCGAAGGTGCGGGTCGTCTATTTTGGAGATGACCAGACGCGAGGGTATTTCAATGTCTTCGCCTTCGACAACACGCGCGAAAATCGGGCCATGATGTTTTCCTTCGAGGATGCTGTCCATGATATGAGGCAATGGTGGACCGATAACCACCGAATCGAGGCTTCGAAAGACAAGGTCAGCGATAAGGATGGGGTCGCAGTTGCACACCAAAAGAAGTGGCAGAATTTCTTAAGGGCCTCCATGGGGAAGGCATGCGACAAGGCGTTCGTGAAGCAAGCGCTCGAGAATGAGTACAGTAAGGATTGGAGCAATAAACTCCGTGGCTACATGAACCTCGCCACATCCACCGATGCTGTGTGGCCACTGGTTGAGAAGTTGTTCGAGATGTTCAACGAAGGGAAGCTGCCAGTTGGCGATGGTGAAATACCGCTTGACATGCCGGGTAGGATGGAGGGGCGCCAGCCAGGATCGTACACCGACGAGACGAAGGGCCAAGGAATTTTGTACCATTGCATATACGCGAGAGATGGTCCCAAAGGCTTCACCGTGTCGTGGAAGGATCTCTGTCCTTCCTACTTCAAAAATTTCGGGGATTTGACGTGCCGCGAGACGGAAGTTGCACTGCTCCTCCTCATGAAAGGGAAGGTGGTCGTGACGAACGTCAAGGCCATGCCTCCGAGAGTGAATACGGAGTGCCTCCTCGACATCATGCGCAAGGAACGGTACATGGTCCGTATGTTCAACTACGTTGTTTTCCGCGCCGAGGGAAGGGCGGACGATGAATGGAATGATGCCTTTTTCATGTCATACAAGGACCTCGGAGACAGGTATGGGCCGAACGGTCTGTGTGTAGCTGAATGGGAGAAGGAACGGGACAAGCTGCATGTCAGCAAAGTGAAGTCGGTCCCTCGACGACTTGGAGGGGTGGAGGAGGCAAGGCAAGGATCAGGCTTGGGCCCTACGGCGACAATGTATAAGGAGGCTCCGTTTCACTTTAAGGTGTTTGTATATACCTCAATCAATAAGCTCGATCTGCTTCGGGCGGAGGTCAAACCTGTCGCCTCCAACGCACGTCATATCGTGTGGGATAAACTTAAAAAGCAAACAATATTGCCACTGGTGTGCATGCCATGGAAGGAAGTGTTGACTGCGCCAGACGACATCGTCGCTGCCGCGCAAAAAATGACCTGCAGGGCCATCATCCTTGACATCTCCCTCTCCAACTTCAGCACGACATGGACCTCTCAAGAGTTCGACGCTCTGCACTCTATGATGACTAACTGTTGTGGCTTTAATTGTTTTTTTTTTGTCTTCGCACTGCAGAAGGTGCAAAGTGATGTTCTGCGTTGCTTATTCCGGTGTGAGGACATCGAACTCATCCTCGGGACCTCGAAACGGGTGGACAGGTCATCGAATGACATCACGAGGTATGGCAATATCGCTACGGCAAGTCGAGACATGATGGCCATTGTCCTGCACGCGGAGGGAGGGGATCTCAGAAAGGTCACGTTCGCACCCCACCTTCTCAATGACCTCACAAACGTGCATGTTGTGGAGGAGAAGTTCGGGAAGTGTCAAGGGAAACACGGTGGCATAAAGGGCGATGAAAGTGTGGTGTATTCCATCTGGGAGCGAGAGTCTGGCAAGTTGTGTTCGTTGTGAGGATCATTCGTCGTGGAGGCAGAAGGTGTGTTTTATAGGGTAGGGCGCACGCGGGTCTTGTGTGAAAATTCTTACTGGCAGGGAATAATGTCATTGCCTGTGACGAGTCGGCAGAGGACATTGCATACTGGATAAAGTTCATCGATATACTTGTCAAGGACGACAGATTCAACTGCCACGTCGAGAAGCCGCGTTGCAAACATCGCCCGAACAGGGACATGTTCCACAAGTTGGGGCCTAAGAGACTTAAGGTGTGGGAGTACCTGTTCCGCGATATGCCACAAGGACGACTTGACGGGAAATATATATACAGGAAAGCAAAGGCAACATAGACCCTCAAACATTATCACGGTGCTCTCACTGGCGCCTTTGAGACTTTTGTTGCTCGATGCGAGATCCTCAAGTTCGATCTTCGCAAAGACCAATTGACGTCCAAGGACTATGCGAAGCTCGCGAAATCGGGCGATGGCTTTAACCCCGTCGACAACGAGGAAGATTTTGCGGACTTCGACCTCGAACAGGGCGAGGGCACATGTGTTGAGGTTCCGCACGGTGGCATGGTGCAAACTCACGATGAGAAAACTGTCCATTCGCACGAAGGGTCCATCCCGGTGGCCGCCCCAAGCGCCGCCTCAATGGTGGCCCCGTCGGAGACTGCTGCATTGCAAGACATTGGAAGATGTGGTGGCAATGAAGAAGATGACATTGACATACCAGGCGAGGCGTCGACACTCGCACCTGGCGATGCAATTCCTCCAGGCTATTGTGCTGACCCGAACACGATTTATTTCTTGGAGGGCAAACACACCCACACAGGCGAGGATCAGTGGGGCCATGACATCATATGGCATGAGGGCGTTTTACAGCCTTTGTCGGAAGATGATGTGGCGCAACAGCGGAAATTGACTCGCCGCGGTCAACTCCCGCGCTGCGTCAAAATTGCGTCCGCAGTCATGGTCAAACTGGACCCTAGCTCTTCGGTTAGACTTCCCTTGGGCCGAAACCGAGGGAAAGACGGCGTGACGGTACGGTCCTCCGAAGACCTGAATCGTCCCCGTTGGACTGCACCGACGCCACCGCAATGGGCCAATTAGTGGGGTCCGGTCCAAACGGCACCTGAAACGGACCAAGGGTTAGTGAGATATTCAAGTTTGACCGGTTGGGACCGGACCGACTTGGCCGCATAATTTGGCCAGGAAAGGGACAGCCCTAAGAGGTCATATAGATGAACAGCCAGGCCCGAATAATTAAAGATAGGGTCAAGTGCTATTTTTAGCACGGGATTGACTGTTCGTCTTCCAAAGTCGGGCCTACACCAGTCCCGTTCTAAAATTAGCACTATCCCACGCTATTTTTAGCGTGGGACTGATTGTTCGTCTACTGGGCACCGGGCCTGTGCCAGTCCCGTTCTAAAATTAGCACAGGCCCATGCTATTTTTAGCGTGGGACAGACTGTTCATCTACCAGGGACTGGGCCTGCACCTGTCGTGTTTTAAAATTAGCACAGTCCCACGCTATTTTTAGCGTGGGACTTACTGTTCATCTGCCGGGACTGACTGTTCGTATCCCGAGGTCGGGACTGCTGCTATTTTTAGCGCAGGCCCAGTCTAGAGTTGGACCACAGCCTCGACCTTGGGACTGCAGCACTCAGCCCCGATCACTTGGCCGCTCCATTATAAAAGAGAGGCCACGTCACCCAAGAGAGACAGATCAGCATGAGTGACGCACGTGGCACGAATCAGACTGTGAGAGAACCCTCACCTGCGGGAGCGCTACAGCCTTGGCGAAACGGCAAGGGGCGGAAGGCACGAGCCAGCGAACAACGACTTGCCTGCAGGAGCATGAGAGGAGCGCGGAGCAGGAGGCAAGAGAGTCGAGGAGAAGGCAAGCCAGGGAAAGGACAAGGAAAAGGGGGGGGCAAGACTGGCCCCTCACTTTCCCTTTCTTATCCCTTCTCTTCTCCCATCTTCTCTTTTTTCTCTCTCTCTCTTCCTTTTCAACCGTCTCCATGGGTTGTGTACATGTCATATCTGATCTGTGCGCACCATGCTTGAGCTATTGATTGAACATAAATTATGTGCTCACTCGCTGCATCTGAAGGTTTACCTTGAGCTGAGCACCGATGAGCGCTGCACCTGATGACTGGCCATGAGTTGTGAGCTCACATGCTGTAATTGAGGGTTGACCCTAAACTCACGCGTACCTGATATGAGTGCTGTGTGCCCATGCGCACCGTGCTGGTGAGTTTTACGTATCTGTGCACCTGAGCACATTTCGCTGTTGTCCTACCTGTGTTCTATTTGAATTATTTGCGGTATGTCACTATTTGGCTGATCACACATCAACAGGTGCAGCGACGCCTGAACCTAAGTTAAGGTCATTCGCGTCGTGCCGCTTCCCCCCGGGTTCTACCTGGATTACTTGTTTATGATGGTGTGATCAACCACCACTTGGCTGGTCTGCACAGCTCGATAAGATTATGCTTAGCCGCTTCGCGAGTCAGTGCAGGAAACCCTCAACCGCTGAGCACGGTGAGAGTTTATTCTTTCAATTTATTTTATCATATGTTTTTATTCCTTAATCAACCTTTTGACTTGGCTAACCGCAGTGGTGCTCTGGCCCTAAGTGAAGGCCGAGAGCAGCACACCTTCTGTTCTCACTAGCAATTATTCGATAATCAGCCTTTTGACTGATAAACCGCAGTGGTGCTGTGGCCCTAAGTGAAGGCCGAGAGCGGCACACCGTTGCCGTTCTCACTAGCAATTACTCGTTAATCAGCCCTTGATTGGCTGATCACAGCGGTGCTCTCGCCCTAAGTGAAGGCCGAGAGTGGCACACCGTTGTCGTCCTCACTAGCAATTATTCGTTAATCAGCCCTTGATTGACTGATCGCAGCGGTGCTCTGGCCCTAAGTGATGGCCGAGAGCGGCACACCGCTGCCGTTCTCATTAGTGTTTATTCTTCAATTAGCCTTGATCGGCTGATCGCAGCGGTGTTCTGGCCCTAAGTGAAGGCCGAGAGTGGCACACCGCAACCGTTCTCATATGCATTTATTTATTCAGCCTTTGAATGGCCAATCGCGGTTGTGGCTGCACAGTTGTGCAGTCTGCGCACCATGCTGAGGGCCGTAACTGAACTGTGCGTTGTGAGCGCACCACATATCTGAATTGTGAGCTGAGGCGCACTGTGTCTGAGGGCCATATCTGAACTGTGCTGCGTTCGCACCATGTTTGAAGGCCGTATCCAAACTGTGTGCCAGCGCACACCATGCTTGAAGATCATATCCGAATTGTGTGTCTGCGCACACCATGCTTGAGGGTTGTAATCGAACTGTGTGCCAGTGCATACTTGAGGGTTGTGTGCCTGCGCACACCATACTTGAGGGCTGTAACCAAACTGTGTCCCTATGCACACTACACTTGAGGGTTGTGCCTGCGCACACCATACTTTGGAACTGTATCCGAACTGTGTGCCCGCGCACACCGTACTTGAGGACAATATTTGAAGTGTGTCTGAGCTGTAATTGGGCACTGCTATTATGGGCTGATTTTCGGGCCAGATCTTGAGCGCTCTCGCGCACTATTATTATGGGCTGGTTTTCGGACCAGATCTTGAGCGCTCTCGCGTACTGTTATTATGGGCTGATTTTCGGGCCAGACCTTGAGCGCTCTCGTGCACTATTATTATGGGCTCATTTTCGGGCCAGATCTTGAGCGCTCTCGTGGACTGTTATTATGGGCTGATTTTCGGGCCAGACTTTGAGCGCTGTCGCGCACTGTTATTATGGGCCGATTTTCGGGCCGGATCTTGAGCGCTCCCGCACACTGCTGTTAAGGGATGATTTATGGACCAAATGTTGAGCATTGATATCAAGAGTTGATTTTGGGAAAAAGCAATAGAGAGATTTTGCCTTGGTCGATATGAACCTGCTTGCCAATAGGCAACTTTGCTTTGACCAGCGAACTGGAGTCTAAGATCGCGGGCCAACTTTGTCAATCTTCGGGCATTGTTGAGTTCCCCGCTGTTTGACTTTATCAACTACTTGCACCAGGTACTGCAATACGAGTGTGTGCCGATAACCAGAACTATTATTTGAGTGCGCGCAAGTGATCAGAATTATTACTTGAATACGCGCCTATGCCGGGGATCGCTATTTGAGTGCACGCCCATGCTCCACATTGCTATTTGAGTGCGCGCCCATGCGCGCCCATGGTCCGCATCGCTATTTGAGTGCGCGCCCATGCGCGCCCGTGCTAGATATTATTATTCTAAAGTGTGTGCCCGCGCGCTCCCAGACAAGATATTATTTTGAGTGTGCGCTCGCGCGCGCCCAGGCCAGATATTATATTTTTAAGTGCGCGTCTGCGCGCGCCCAGACCAAATATTATTTTTGAGTGCGCGTCGGTGCGCGCCCAAGCTTGGAATAGCAGTAAGAGTGCGCGCCCGAGCTTGGAATAGCAGTAAGAGTGCGCGCTCGTGCGCGCCCAAGCTT